TGAAAGATTTCCGGAGAATTTTTCAGTAAAATCAATTTCTGAGCTTGCACAGCTATAATTCACGCACGGTTCGATCCAGAGTTAATATCGATTTCCGCACAACGCAATGAATACTAAAAGACTAGCATACTAAAATTCACTCAGAAGAAAGTCAATATAAACCAAAGCAAAGCTACGTGGAAGCACACTAATTCGCATATCTTGTGTACAATTTCTTGTCCATAGTATGAATGCACAGTAGGTAAAAATCGTTTTCTTCTGAGGAAGCTACAGCTCAAACGAAAAAAGTCATGAAAATGCTTTTTTTTACCGTTTTACATCCCCGTCGAAAATGAAATCTTTATGTTGAATCGGTAATTCATATGATGATCATGTATGATAAAATTATGGAGTTTTTCTAAATTATCGAAAAAATTGTTGATTTTCTTCAGTAGTCAATCATACTAAAACAAAATATTATCAGAATCATTTTTACCTGTAAACTGCCGTATGGCTATCTGTACTGACCATTTTCGTGAAAAATTGTTGTTTTTGATTGAGAAATGGTCATACGGTAGCAAAATACTTGAAACTACGTAAACCTAACAGATAGATCTATTTACTGTTCCTTCAACATTTTAACCACAGCAACGTCACTTTTCAATCAAATTAAAAAAATTGTGCCACGAAGAAGATCATTACCAGTAGCTCTTCTAACCTCAATAAGTGAAAAGTCTAAGAATATTTTCTCTGTATAATTGGCCGCTCATATGAGAAAATAATTTTGGGAAATGGACATTTCGCACCAACTTTTCATTACGATCTCCAGTAGCATATGTTCGTTACGACCTCCGGACGTATGAAAAAGGACAGGCTGTTCGGAATTAAGTGGACGGGAGTTCGGAATGACAAAAATCGATCAAAATTAAAAAAGAACAGGATGTTCGTAATGAAAGTTGTTCAGAAGATCGTAACGAACAACGAACATTAATTTTTAGAGAAAAAAAAAGTCAAATTTGACCGGAGTTTGGCATGAAAATATTGAAAGATCGTAACAATAAAAACAGGATGTTGGAAACTGTGTTCATGTTTGCTGTTTTTTAAGATATGTTAAGTAATTTACTAGTTTTTATTCTAAGATAGTACACAAACGACAGATGAGGATGTGAGAGTAAGGGTGAGGATGTGGAGTGTGAGCATGGGTGAGGATCAGTAAATAGAAGACGTCACCCTCACCTACGTCCTCACACCCTCACTCGTCTAGTCAATAATTTTTGAACGTAGAGACTTTTAATTATATAGTAATTCATTTCCACAGAGATTAGTGATAACAATTATCAACATTATGAATATGTTAAAGCACAAAAGTCGCAAACATCTTGTACAGTTATTATAGCGTTATGTGTAGAGACAGAGAAAGGTAGATGTTGTTTATATAATTACGAACCTATTGTATCTATCATTCTTGATTTTATAAAAAAAAAAAGAAAGAAAAGTCTTTATGACCGTTGCGAATATCAGAATAAATCAGTTACGATCTCCTGGTAAATTGGGTCATGAACATCCCGTCTTTTTCGTCCCGATTTTAAACATTACTCCGCATATAGTAATGATCATTCCATTTCGAATTCCCAGTAACGCCTTCCCGATCTCCCTGTGTTTTCGATTACGATCTTCTATTCAAAACGGATTACGAACTCCCGTCGAATATTTGTTACGGCAAAAAGTAATTTCCGAACACCCGGACACATGACCGGGGTTCGGAATGACTTGGTGCGAAATGTCCGTCACCCATAGTTTTTTCTCGTGCTTTAAAGCAAACACACAATTATGGGTGAATCCGCCGGGTTTCTACCACTTTTGTGGAAAAAATTTTTTTTCACGATTTTGATATTCTAGTTAGACGGGACATAGTCGAAAACGGTCTGGGGTAACAATTACAATCTTTTTGAACACATAAAGTATGGGGATCCACATTATTTTTTAGGAACCCTTCACACATGTATGTATCTACGAAGTAATTTTCATAAATATACTTTCTATAATTATCAAGTTCTTATAGATTCTGATAGAGAAAAAAATTCTGCATCGAACGAGCCTATTTTCGACAAATCTAAATCGGATATTCATAGGTCTTTAGGTCAAAAACTGGTTTTTAGAGCTCCCAGAAAGTGCTTCAGATCTTTGTTATTATCCAATGAGTTTTTAAAAATAATGTAATATTTGTAATCAACACACTTAGCTCTATAAAACTATAAAGACTTCTAATAAAACGGTAATAAAAAATTTTTTTCGATACTTGAGGGGCGGGTACCACCAGATATCGAAAAAAATTTTTTATTACCGTTTTATTAGAAGTCTTCATAGTTTTACAGAGCTAAGTATACTGATTACAAATATTAGATTATTTTTTAAAACTCATTGGATAATAACAAAGATCTGAAGCACTTTCTGGGAGCTCTAAAAACCAGTTTTTGACCTAAAGACCTATGAATATCCGATTTAGATTTGTCGAGAATAGGCTCGTTCGATGCAGAATTTTTTTCTCTATCAGAATCTATAAGAACTTGATAACTATAGAAAGTATGATTATGAAAATTACTTCGTAGATACATACATGTGTGAAGGGTTCCTAAAAAATAATGTGGATCCCCATACTTTATGTGTTCAAAAAGATTTTAATTGTTACCCCAGACCGTTTTCGACTATGTCCCGTCTAACTAGAATATCAAAATCGTAAAAAAAAAATTTTCCCTAAAGTGGTAGAAACCCGGCGGATTCACCCGATAATGAAATCTATGTTATTTTCTGGAATAAAATTGGTTTGAAAACAAAGAAACCAAATAATTTGACGTTGAATCTTTTGCAACTTTCTATTGACGAGAGATTATCTGATTCTTTTTTCATCACATTGATTAGCTTAAAAGATAGAGTTCTGCTTAAAATTAACTTGTAAACATTAGTGATACAAGCCGATCAATGATTACATATAATTTTTTTCTAGATTTCTTCTTACTCATAGATGTATAATTATAGATTCTTGCTTGTATCAGTTTCAGTTTCAAATAACAAGATTTTCATTTTTTTTTTCGAGTTATATTATGTTTCCCTTTTTCTGAAGGAAACGAAAATGGATCAAACTCGAGGTCATTCAAGTGTCAAGTCGATGCATGGCACGGTTCCATTATTCTTAAGTAGTCCCGGCCACTTGCCAAAAATCCGTTCGAAAGATTCTGACTTTTTCAGTCAGCGCCGGCTTTCAAACCGACAAGAACAGATATTAAACTTTAATCTTAGTCCAAAAGGTCACAAAGCGTTCGCACACATTTCGAAATCATATGTTCGATTTCTCAACATTTCTGCATTTATATTCTTGCATTTGGTATGAAACAAGAGAATCTTCAAACTATCATGACGATGGACTAAGCGTTAGTTTTTCTTTTTTCTTTGCTATTAAGAGATTTATTCTCTGATGTTATGTTCTTTATCGCAGCTAGTGAGTGAACAGACACTCTAAAAGTAGTAGAAAGTGCTCGTGGATTGATATGAATGCGAATCGATTAGAGTGTGCAATTCAGCTTTAAACTCACAAATACATTTCTTTTTCTCCTAAAATTATACACCTGCATTTTACCTCTAGAATAAATGCTTGAATTGTAATAGACAAATGTAAAACGGCTTCCCACTAGATTTGTCTTATGGATACTATTGTAACTGACTGTCATAAACAGTGGCAATGGTGACTTGAAATAGAATCGTCGATAACATATACATAGATCTATATCATTTGGATATTGTTAAGTGATTGAAGAATATCTCAAAACTTAATGCCAAAATTCGAATGTTTGTATAGATTTTGTCTTTACAATTTTCACATGGCTTTTCTAAGGCAGAAAGGAGAGCTTGCGCAATTAACTTAAGTATTTCGAAATATTCACATCGACTAAAATTGTGCATAACGAATTTCAAGTACAAGAATTTTGGGTGTGGGTGGGTGTGACCCACACCCACAGCCTTTTCAGGAAATGCTCATATTTTGTTAGTGTTTTCTCTAGTACGTATGTATTGGGCTAATATAATTAACGAGAAGCTCAATGAAGCTGACAGAATTATTTTGAAGCTAAATTCTTCGTGGCATAGAAGTAAGTTATGCATAGACAGATTGTATGCAATGTGTTGAAGAAATTGAAAGGAAATGCGATCTAAGAAAATGTTCGTTCGCTATTTCGTCCGTCTACAATTTATTTTCATGTTCTTTGCGCTAATTGCAGTCCCTGATATCTATTTTCATTGATCCAAAAGCTCATCGTAAGATAGCGAGATTTCATCAATAGACAAGTTGTGCTGTAATGAACTATTCTAATGGTTAGATCTTTGCTCTATATTGAATTACAGCTCTGTAAATTCAACCACAAACATGTGTTATGATGAGACCTTATTGTTGAAATTTTCAACTGAATTGATTCAGTTGAGCTTGAGTTATTGACGTCAGACTAGAACCGATTGCTAACTACTTGATTAACAGTTTTCAATGTGAACTTCAGATCTCCGCTATTCGAAGGTACTTTCTTACCAAATTTTGAATGTAGATAGTCACACCAGTCGGCTTACAAATGTGGGAGTGCACGAATGGAAAGGTCAACCAATGTCCGAGATATGACTTTCACAATCTGATGGTATTGTTGACCTGATAACTCCAATCTACATCAACCGATTACGGTCAGATTGGTGCTTGCGATCATGGTTCACTAAGATCAATCTACATCCAAAATATCAGCCCAATATCATAAGAAATAAGACCAGTTTAGAGAGGGCGATTACTTTTTTCCAGGACTGTACATATGAAACATCATATCTAAAGATGATCTTAAACAAAAAGATCGAAAATTCATAATTAAATGAAAACACATAATTCTAAATGTATTTGTTCGATTTTAGTCTTTATCTAAATAAAATAAATTTGTTCTATATCTAAAATTAGCTGCAAAAGATAAAAATTTGTTTGTTATAAATTGTCGATGTTATGTATGATATTCTTCGTGTGAACTAGCTATTTTTTGAAAGCAAGCATGTCGAAGTAAATCAGCTGATATAACAGATTGAATACGATTAAATTCTTCTAGAACTTGAGCTTTTGTTAAAGTAATAAATAATTCAGCATCCATTATTGTATTATTTGTTGTTTCTTGTGTTGATCCAACTATTTTGAAATACATTTGTAACATAATCTTGATAAAGTTTTCTTGAATTTTAACATTGTAAAATAATATATCGTTAAGAATTTCTATAAGATTCTTCAATTTAGTCTTTTAATGGACGTGTATTATCAAGGCATTCAATAATTATTAATTTTATTGACATTGGCATTACTGTAGATGTTCGAATAGATATATGTGCACAATTTGATTGATTACAATTTGGATCATCATAATAACGAAGTCATCGATAAAGGACGCCAAAATCAAAAATCTCAATTTTAGATCCTCACCTTTCTCGTGTCCAGACTAGTGTGGGTGTAGGTGCGGGTGTGGGTGTGGGTGTGGGATGTGGGTGTGGGTGTAGGTGCGGGTGTGGGTGTGGGATGTGGGTGTGGGTGTAGGTGCGAGTGTGGGTGCCGGTGTGGGTGTGGGTGGGGCCTCATTATATCATAGTCCACACCCACACTCACACCCACCCCCACGCCCACGCCCACGCCCACGCCCACGCCCACGCCCACGCCCACACCCACACCCATG